CCATAGAGTCCTCACCCACCATTCTCCAGATCATTCAGTCCATAGATTCTCCACCCACCACTCTCCAGATCATTCAGTCCATAGATTCTCCACCCACCACTCTCCAGATCATTCAGTCCATAGATTCTCCACCCACCACTCTCTAGATCATTCAGTCCATAGATTCTCCACCCACCACTCTCCAGATCATTCAGTCCATAAATTCTCCACCCACCACTCTCCAGATCATTCAGTATTCAGTCCATAGAATCTCCACCCAACACTCTCAAGATCATTCAATCCATAGATTCTCCACCCACCTCTCTCTAGATCATTTAATCCATAGATTCCTCACCCACCTCAAGATCATTTAAGTCCATAGATTCTCCACCCAACACTCTCCAGATCATTCAGTCCATAGATTCTCCACCCACCACTCTCCAGATCATTCAGTCCATAAATTCTCCACCCACCACTCTCCAGATCATTCAGTATTCAGTCCATAGAATCTCCACCCACCACTCTCAAGATCATTCAATCCATAGATTCTCCACCCACCTCTCTCTAGATCATTCAATCCATAGATTCCTCACCCACCTCAAGATCATTTAAGTCCATAGATTCTCCACCCACCACTCTCCAAATCATTCAGTCCATAGATTCTCCTGCTTCATCAGTTGAAAGATACTCCACCCACCACTCTACAGATCATCTACCAATCTCAGACCTACCTTTCTCTATAGTTTCTGGCGAGGTATGTTTGCCAGCAGTGATCTCCACTTCAGATTCTCCACCCACCACTCTACAGATCATCTACCAATCTCAGACCTACCTTTCTCTATAGTTTCTGGCGAGGTATGTTTGCCAGCAGTGATCTCCACTTCAGATTCTCCACCCACCACTCTACAGATCATCTACCAATCTCAGACCTACCTTTCTCTATAGTTTCTGGCGAGGTATGTTTGCCAGCAGTGATCTCCACTTCAGATTCTCCACCCACCACTCTACAGATCATCTACCAATCTCAGACCTACCTTTCTCTATAGTTTCTGGCGAGGTATGTTTGCCAGCAGTGATCTCCACTTCAGATTCTCCACCCACCACTCTCCAGATCATTCAGTCAATAGATTCTCCACCCACCACTCTCCAGATCATTCAGTCCATAGATTCTCCACCCACCACTCTCCAGATCATTCAGTATTCAGTCCATAGAATCTCCACCCACCACTCTCAAGATCATTCAATCCATAGATTCTCCACCCACCTCTCTCTAGATCATTCAATCCATAGATTCCTCACCCACCTCAAGATCATTTAAGTCCATAGATTCTCCACCCACCACTCTCCAAATCATTCAGTCCATAGATTCTCCACCCACCACTCTCAAGATCATTCAGTCCATAGATTCTCCACCCACCACTCTCCAGATCATTCAGTATTCAGTCCATAGAATCTCCACCCACCACTCTCAAGATCATTCAATCCATAGATTCTCCACCCACCTCTCTCTAGATCATTCAATCCATAGATTCCTCACCCACCTCAAGATCATTTAAGTCCATAGATTCTCCACCCACCACTCTCAAGATCATTCAGTCCATAGATTCTCCACCCATCACTCTCCAGATCATTCAGTCCATAGATTCTCCACCCACCACTCTCCAGATCATTCAATCCATAGATTCTCCACCCACCATTTCCCAGATCATTCAGTCCATAGATTCTCCACCCACCACTCTCCAGATCATTCAGTCGATAGATTCTCCACCCACCACTCCCAAGATCATTCAGTCCATAGATTCTCCACCCACCACTCTACAGATCATTCAGTCGATAAATTCTCCACCAACCACTCCCAAGATCATTCAGTCCATAGATTCTCCACCCACCACTCCCAAGATCATTCAGTCCATAGATTCCTCACCCACCACTCTACAGATCATTCAGTCGATAAATTCTCCACCAACCACTCCCAAGATCATTCAGTCCATAGATTCTCCACCCACCACTCTACAGATCATTCAATCCATAGATTCTCCACCCCACCACTCTCAAGATCATTCAGTCCATAGATTCTCCACCCACCATTCTCCAGATCATTCAATCCATAGATTCGCAACCCACCACTCTCAAGATCATTCAGTCCATAGATTCTCCACCCACCACTCTCCAGATCATTTCAATCCATAGATTCTCCACCCACCACTCTCCAGATCATTCAGTCCATAGATTCTCCACCCAACACTCTCCAGATCATTCAGTCCATAAATTCTCCACCCACCACTCTCTACAGATCATTCAGTCCATAGATTCTCCACCAACCACTCTCCAGATCATTCAATCCATAGATTCTCCACCCACCACTCTCAAGATCATTCAGTCCATAGATTCTCCACCCACCACTCTCCAGATCATTCAATCCATAGAGTCCTCACCCACCATTCTCCAGATCATTCAGTCCATAGATTCTCCACCCACCACTCTCCAGATCATTCAGTCCATAGATTCTCCACCCACCACTCTCCAGATCATTCAGTCCATAGATTCTCCACCCACCACTCTCCAGATCATTCAGTCCATAGATTCTCCACCCACCACTCTCCAGATCATTTCAGTCCATAGATTCTCCACCCACCACTCTCCAGATCATTCAATCCATAGAGTCTCACCCACCATTCTCCAGATCATTCAGTCCATAGATTCTCCACCCACCACTCTCCAGATCATTCAGTCCATAGATTCTCCACCCACCACTCTCCAGATCATTCAGTCCATAGATTCTCCACCCACCACTCTCTAGATCATTCAGTCCATAGATTCTCCACCAACCACTCTCCAGATCATTCAGTCCATAAATTCTCCACCCACCACTCTCCAGATCATTCAGTATTCAGTCCATAGAATCTCCACCCACCACTCTCAAGATCATTCAATCCATAGATTCTCCACCCACCTCTCTCTCTAGATCATTTAATCCATAGATTCTCCTCACCCACCTCAAGATCATTTAAGTCCATAGATTCTCCACCCACCACTCTCCAGATCATTCAGTCCATAGATTCTCCACCCACCACTCTCCAGATCATTCAGTCCATAAATTCTCCACCCACCACTCTCCAGATCATTCAGTATTCAGTCCATAGAATCTCCACCCACCCACCACTCTCAAGATCATTCAATCCATAGATTCTCCAAATTCTCCACCTCTCTCTAGATCATTCAATTCCATAGATTCTCCACCCACCACTCTCAAGATCATTTAAGTCCATAGATTCTCCTAGATTCCACCACCACTCTCAAATCATTCAGTCCATAGATTCTCCTGCTTCATCAGTTGAAAGATACTCCACCCACCACTCTACAGATCATCTACCAATCTCAGACCTACCTTTCTCTATAGTTTCTGGCGAGGTATGTTTTGCCGGCAGTGATCTCCCACTTCAGATTCTCCACCCACCACTCCTACAGATCATCTACCAATCTCAGACCTACCTTTCTCTATAGTTTCTGGCGAGGTATGTTTGCCGGCAGTGATCTCCACTTCAGATTCTCCACCCACCACTCTACAGATCATCTACCAATCTCAGACCTACCTTTCTCTATAGTTTCTGGTGAGGTATGTTTGCCGGCAGTGATCTCCACTTCAGATTCTCCACCCACCACTCTACAGATCATCTACCAATCTCAGACCTACCTTTCTCTATAGTCTCTGGTGAGGTATGTTTGCCGGCAGTGATCTCCCACTTCAGATTCTCCACCCACCACTCTACAGATCATCTACCAATCTCTCAGACCTACCTTTCTCTATAGTCTCCATGAGGTATGTTCTCCGGCAGTGATCTCCACTTCAGATTCTCCACCCACCACTCACAGATCAATCTACCACCCTCAGACCTACCTTTCTATAGTCTCTGGCTCAAGAGGTATCTCCACCCACCACTCTCCAAAGTGATCTCCACTTCAGATTCTCCACCCACCACTCTACAGATCATCTACCAATCCTCAGACCTACCTTTCTCCATAGTTTCTCTCCAGATCATGTCAGTATTCAGTGATCATAGAATCTCCACCCACCTCTCTAGATCATTCAATCCATAGATTCCTCCACCCACCACCTCAAGATCATCTAAGTCCATAGATTCTCCACCTACCTTTTCTATAATCTCAGTCCATAGATATATGTTTGCGGCAGTGATCAGTTCCACTTCAGATTCTCCACCCACCACTCTACAGATCATCTACCAATCTCAGACCTACCTTTCTCTATAGTCTCTGGCGAGGTATGTTTGCGGCAGTGATCTCCACTTCAGATTCTCCACCCACCACTCTACAGATCATCTACCAATCTCAGACCTACCTTTCTCTATAGTTTCTGGCGAGGTATGTTTGCGGCAGTGATCTCCACTTCAGATTCTCCACCCACCACTCTACAGATCATCTACCAATCTCAGACCTACCTTTCTCTATAGTTTCTGGCTAGGTATGTTTGCCGGCAGTGATCTCCACTTCAGATTCTCCACCCACCACTCTACAGATCATCTACCAATCTCAGACCTACCTTTCTCTTTAGTCTCTGGTGAGGTATGTTTGCCGGCAGTGATCTCCACTTCAGATTCTCCACCCACCACTCTACAGATCATCTACCAATCTCAGACCTACCTTTCTCTTTAGTCTCTGGTGAGGTATGTTTGCCGGCAGTGATCTCCACTTCAGATTCTCCACCCACCACTCTACAGATCATCTACCAATCTCAGACCTACCTTTCTCTATAGTCTCTGGCGAGGTATGTTTGCCGGCAGTGATCTCCACTTCAGATTCTCCACCCACCACTCTACAGATCATCTACCAATCTCAGACCTACCTTTCTCTATAGTTTCTGGCTGAGGTATGTTTTGCGGCAGTGATCTCCACTTCAGATTCTCCACCCACCACTCTACAGATCATCTACCAATCTCAGACCTACCTTTCTCTATAGTCTCTGGCGAGGTATGTTTGCCGGCAGTGATCTCCACTTCAGATTCTCCACCCACCACTCTACAGATCATCTACCAATCTCAGACCTACCTTTCTCTATAGTCTCTGGCGAGGTATGTTTGCAGACCTACCTTTCTCTATCGTCTCTGGATGGAGTATGTTTGCCAGTGATCTCCACTTCAGATTCTCCACCCACCACTCTACAGATCATCTACCAACTCAGACCTACCTTTCTCTATAGTTTCTATGAGGTATGTTTGCCGGCAGTGATCTCCACTTCAGATTCTCCACCCACCACTCTACAGATCATCTACCAAACTCAGACCTACCTTTCTCTATAGTTTCTGGCGAGGTATGTTTGCCGGCAGTGATCTCCACTTCAGATTCTCCACCCAACACTCTACAGATCATCTACCAATCTCAGACCTACCTTTCTCTATAGTCTCTGGTGAGGTATGTTTGCCAGCAGTGATCTCCACTTCAGGGATATAGTACACAGGAAACAGGAAGCGCAGCCCTATAGTCCTCTACAACACAGTATAGCCCTATAGTCCTCTACAATACAGTATAACTGTTATATTCTGCTCCCAAATATTTGGAGACTGAAAAGGCTTTAATAACACAATTATCATCTAACAGTATATATTTGTGGTACAACAACACTCAGCACAATGTCCAGATTTAATTGACTTGAGTTAAGACTCGAAATGGTCAATTCTTAAACACACGATTAAATATTTAAAATTGTCTATTTCATACAGAAATACACAGTAAACATGGTATATATATATATAGCATTTATCACACATATACCAGGTATTTATCACATATATAACCCAACAGTACCTCCTTGTTGACTGTCCTCTCTGAGATGTCTGTGACATTGAGGCAGAGTGTGTTGGTGGAGATGATGGCACCAGGCTTGCAAAGATGGGATATACCTGTAACCATGGCAACAGATATATCATCAGGTTTAACCAAACAGAACATTGGTTCTAACTTCACAGAACATAGAACATTAATAAGACACAGGTTTATTTGCAAATAACATGGGATTAATCATACAGAATGTTTAATCCATGGATTAAGTTTAACTCACGTTCAAATAAATCCTGCTTAATATTCAGGTTTTCCTTGACAACCTCAAAGATGACTTCTGCATCACTGACAGTCTCCTCTAGCCGACTCATGCACAATATCTGTCCCTGGAACACATCAAGGACCTCAGATAACATATATGTAATACTGTGGGCTTCCCATCTATATTGTCTTCAAACCTGACCACCCAAACCATTAAGTCACCTCATACAATAAGTATGAGTAGTTGTGAAATTCTTCCATGTAGTCTTAGTGTGTGTGAGAGAGAGAGAGTGTGTGTGTGTGTGTGAGTGTGTGTGAGAGTGACCTCATACAATAAGTATGAGTTGTGAAATTCTTCCATGTAGTTTTTGTGTGTATGTGTGTGTGAGAGTGACCTCATACAATAAGTATGAGTAGTTGTGAAATGCTTCCATGTAGTCTTAGTGTGTGTGTCTGTGTGTGAGAGAGAGAGAGAGAGAGTGTGTGTGTGTGTGAGTGAGTGAGAGTGACCTCATACAATAAGTATGAGTTGTGAAATTCTTCCATGTAGTCTAAGTGTGTGTGTGTGTGTATGTGTGTGCACGCGTGTGTGTGAGAGTGACCTCATACAATAAGTATGAGTAGTTGTGAACATCTTCCATGTAGTCTTTGTGTGTATGTATATGTGTGTGTTTGTGCACAAAGTAAGTGACACCCCCCTGCATGCCATGTACAAAATCAACTACTCCCCCTTCCCATAATTCTTAAGCATAATTTTTTACATATTTTTATGTACAAAATTGCTGACACCCCCCTGTACATGTGTACAAATTTGATGACCCCCCTACCTCCCCAGAACAAAATAGATGAAACCCCCCTTCATTTTTTCTTTCTCTTCTTGAAACAATTTAGTTAAACTATTGCAGTCATGCTCTAAACAGACAGAGAACCCATATTACTGGGGAAAATAGCAGCAGTTGCAAGAACAGGTTTATGTTCACCTCACCCCACATTCCCGCAGCTATACTAGGTAAAGAATTAGTGACTATAGCTGAACCAAACTTTGAACAGAATATCAGTTATAACACTAAATGATGAATAAATCAGAACAGATAAATGTCTTTGATCAAACCCGGAAGTACAGGTTCCTCAAACCTAGAAACAGTATGAGAGCAAGTCTGGGATTTGAACCCCGGCTTAACAAAGGTGATCTCAATCATCATAATTCTAAATGATATCATCAATGGAACACTGCTGTACTTTAGAAACTGAATTAAATATGTAAACAAGCATTGTCCATTTGCTAAAGTATCAGAACAATATCAACATAAAGCATATATACATACAAAATGTTGATGTTTTCATCATGTCATACAATACTAAGCTAGAATAACCATATTAACATTTTAAGCTCATGTAGTTAATAAATAGTTAAAATATTCTAAAAAGTTAAATGTTATTAATGGTAATAAGCCAATGAATTACTCATCATGTTAAAGTTAAAACTCACAATAAAATTTTTATGTGGCATGAGTTTTTCTGAGTGTAGCATCTTCTTGTCTTCCTGCAGTCTGTCATACACGCTGTTGAGCGCCTTCACATCAATGTCAGTGATCTTCACTCGATGACCGTGATATGCCAGCTCTCCTGAACATCAAAATATCAGCACAATTTGAAACAAGTGTCACCTTAGACCAATTCATTATTGATATTTTCTTTGTACATTTACACAATATATATCATGATAAATCTTACAACTATTGTTGTGGTGCTGATCAAGTGATTAAATGCATGTCCTTACAGACAAATATCATGTGATCGTACTAAATATTATATTACAAATATTACAAATTGGCTTCACTGATCCACTATCATGATTCACCATGCATCTTAATACTCTTTGCAGGGGCGGTGGGGTAGCCTAGTGGTTAAAGCATTCAGTCAGGTTCAATTCCCCACAAGTGTGAAGCCCATTTCTGGTGTCCACCACCGTGATATTACTGGAATATTGCTAAAAGCGGTGTAAAACCATACTCACTTTCTATCTTTGCCATGATATAACTTTTATATTGTGAGGCCATGTGCATGCTTCAGAGTCCCACAAACATTGTGTAAAGATTTCGTGCAGAATAATATTTTCTTTTTAACACCATGTCTACCAATGTTTTCTTGGGTCTCTGTTTATTACCTCTTAGCATGCTTATGAAGGAGTATATATGCCAGCATGGCAGATATCAAGTTGTCTTTTCATTCTATCATGTCAGAATGGGTGAGTGACCTCTTACGACAAGCATGGGTTACTGAAGATCATCTCTAACCAAGACTTTCATGGGTTTAGATAGGGATACATCTCAGTTTTACACGTGGTTCTGATTACAACACCTGACCCTATTCTGGAAGGGAGTGAGTGAATGAGATTGGTTTAACGCCACTTTTAGCAATATTCCAGCTATATCATGGCGGAAGACACCAGAAATGGGCTTCACACATTGTACCCATGGTCTTCGGTGTGACAAGCGAACGCTTAAACAACAAGGCTACGCCACTGCCCCATCAAGAATGGAATCTTATTTTGTTTCAATAGGATTCCAGGGATTAATAGATCTCAGTAACCATAAATGGACAGGATGTAGTTTGTTTAGTGCTGAAACCCATATGCCTCTATAGCAAGGGTGTTTGCTAGTTTTTGAAACTTCTGATTTCCCCCTTAAATAAGTTTCTTTACTGTGTCCGTTATACAAGGCATGCCAGTATATGACACTGGCTATCTCATTCTTGTCATTTGCTTTCCAGGCGACATTATCTGTTCAACACAGACCCACCCTCTTTTCCTGAATTAAGTCTTTTTTTTATGTTGATGATGATGATGATGATGATGCATGAAAAAATGTATCCCCCCTACCTTCCATACACTTAATGCACATTCAAAGCACAAACATTACTCTGTTCAATGGATCAGAATGGACACAGTTTCTATTCTCTGAAGTGTATTATATCTAAGCTGCCTCACCAGATGCTAGACAATTAACAATCACATTATTAACTCATTCTGATGAGTTACAAAATACTATTTCTGGTTTCTTTGGATTAGAAGCCTGTTTTCATTAAAGCCTAGATAACATTAAAAATGCTTTGTTTGTTTGAAGACAATCTCCTACCCAGAGTTCCTTGTGGTCAGACTAGTACCTCATCCACATCATCACTTCTGTTTCATTGTTGACAAACATGTCATGAAATATCTAACTTTCCCTCAGAATATATCATTAAACAGGCAAAACTATTCCAATTTATGTATTTATCCTTCATGCAATGCCATTGAAACCTTATCATGCTTATTGAGAGCTGGTGATGTGGTAACTTAGGTGTGCCAAGTTAATTTGTCATGCAGTTGTGGCAGCACATCTTTGGAACTATGCAAAACAATGTCAAGTGATACAAAAAGCTTATCAGCTGTTGTCCAAGATATTTTTATGGATAAAATTCTTTTTAATTTCTCTCACGACGTTTCGAGACCATTCCAGGTCCCTTCATCAGGTGAACTGGCAGTTAGGACTATGACGTCATCACTATGACGTCATAACTGAGTTATGACGTCACAATGCAAGTGACATCACGGTACACTAGGGAGAGTACTGTATAAGTGAGTTTGAAGAGTTAATTACATAATGATGAAAATTCAAGCTAAATATCAGCTGTTGTTTGCAAACAATGCTTCAGAGCGGTCAATTTACTGACCCTTTAATAGATGGCAAAATGTCTAAAGGTCTAGGAGTGAGTGAGTGAGTTTAGTTTTACGCCGCACTCAGCAATATTCCAACTATACGGCGGTGATCTGTAAATAATCGAGTCTGGACCAGACAATCCAGTGATCAACAGCATGAGCAAAAGGTCTAAGAGACTGAATCAGGTTTACTTTCACTAAACACAAGCGCTCCACATCACAATTAATGAATTATATTGTTGGATTCATACATTTTTGGACATCGTATGTTTTCTTGCTTGTGCAATAACCATAATAACTGGATGTGTTGTGTCCCAAGGACATTGCAAATGTAAATATTTGGATGATGGCTTGTGTTTGAGATTAAGTTATAGTTTCTAAGTTAGTGAGACGTTGTACAGTTGTTCATGTGATAAGTGAGACAACAATGAACGTGTTTTTTAAGCATCCGAAAACCCATAACATTAGGATATATCATGTGCACATATTTGCAGCCAGGACTGTGTCAATTCACCACTGTGACCAGTGCCACCAGCCTTCTTGTAGACCTACCTGCAATTCGTACGCCCATAGCCCCACATCCAATAACTGCAACCTTCATTGTTGAATATGTTGTTGAGAATTACAGAGTATGAAATGCCTTCAATACAAGAACACGGATTGGCAATTTGTTTTACATTCTCGAGTTCAGTTTTCTGTGTTTCTCTTCAGGTGAAAACAATATGAATTGTATGTGCAATACATCTTATGGCGTGTGTCCCTCTAGATGAGAATTTTTGCACTTCTTTTCACGATTGCTCAAGTAGAATGAGACACAGATGTACGGTACTATGCAGCAACAAATATCAGCTGTGACCGAGAGTCGGTGTACTGCCAATCCAGATTTTCCTCCAGTTGTTGTCACGAGTGCCTATTTGATAATACGTACTCATTTATAAATCAAAACATATAAAACACGGTCTTACGTATTCGAAAACAAATCACGAAAAATATATCTTCGTAGATATCATAAAGACATTGGTAGATCTACATTTAGCGAGAAAAGCGGATGTCGCTGCCAAACAAATGGGACATAACTCTTGCTAACTTCCGCTTTTCAGGGACGGTTTGGGGTGGGGGGTGAAACGAGGAGGGGCACCTGCCACATTTAGATTTAGGCAGTTATCCAACGCAAGAAATTGCGCAGTTTGAAATTTTACAATTTGTTACAAAAATGACTATGGGAAATACATTTTGGCTGAAGAGAAGCATATAATTTCTGGAATAAGACATTAATAACCGAGAATTAATCAGAATTGAAAATTCATAAATACCAAATAATTACAAAATTTATATAAAACTATCTATGATAAATTTTGCATGGCTGGATAAAAACCATGTAATGCGTTAAGTTCAGTAAATACACCTGTCTATAAACTGATTATTCTATACATGATAGCTTGATATGGTGTCGTTATCGCACAGACAGGTATATGTGCTGATACCTGTGTGCACTGGTACATTGTTGCCATTTTGTAGCAGCACGTGTTACCTTTTTTATATGGAACTGTGGTGTTATAACACCACTGGTGTATTGTGTGGTGTTTGAGGTTCTAGTTTTGTTCCCTATACGAACAAGGGACCGTCTGCCGCGAGCTAATTTGTCAGAAGGCCAAATCAGCTGCTGCCTGGACTGCATACGATCACCAATATAGAGCACCTGTCGCTGACAAAGTGTTTATAATCGCTGTCACATGTAGAGCCAAGGCCTGTATACATGGGCTTAATACTCTGTGTATATATTACATGTTGTGGAATAATCAACGGACAGGTCGTATACGTGGATCTCATGCAGGCTGGTAACGTACCTCTACCAGACAAGCATTATAGTGTTGTAGTGCGTGTGTGCGTGCGTGCGTGCGTGGAGCCGTTGCTCCCGTAAGAGATTAAATGTTGTCGGTAACCCACAGATCACCAATCCACCCCACGACCCACCCCAAGCCATTAAATTACTCAGTGAAGAGAAACAATACCAAATTGTATGATCATCGTATGTTCCCAACTGAATTTGTTTGTTTATTGTTTAACGCCGCACTCAACAATATTCCAGCAATATATGGTCTGTAAATAATCGAGCCTGGACCAGACAATCCAGTGATCAACAGCATGAGTATTGCTCTACTCCATTGGGGTGCGATGACATGTAACAAACAAGACAGCGAGTCTGACCACCCGATCCCGTTAGTCGCTCCTTACGACAAGAATGGGCAGCTGTAGATCAATTCTAACCCGGATCTTCACGGGTCTGTTCCAATCTGTAAGAATTATGTAACAACTGAACATCCGCCTTAGAAATTCCTAGATCCGCCATCGCCGCCATACACGGATGTAAACTGTCAGTGTTTACGACAATCATGGTTACGAATAGTCTGTCACACAGTCCCTGAACCACACGATGATCTCTACTGCCGAGCCCTCCCCCTGCAATGCTCAAGCCCTAAATGAAGAAAGTCTAGATTTCCTCAGTCCAATCTCCCATCTCCTTTTGAGGCTCCTTTTCAATGTAAATGAGTTCATTTGTTATTCTCAAAATTATATATTTTCAGAGACTAAGCGTTAGTCTAGGTTATCCCATCCAAACATCCAGCCTATGAATCGAGAATAAAGACATGCGTTCTTGCAATAGTTCATTGACTGGCAATCCAAATACAAATGTATGTATGTTTGTGGACAAATAATAAATTCCACTTATATTTCCAATTACATCTTATAAAACGATTTATTGTACATAGGGTCAGCAACTATGGTTAAAATTCTTGTATAAACATTGTAATAAGGTTGCAAGTTGAATGTTTTCCCAAATTATGTAAATAAGGTGTAAAACACATATAAACATATATCAGTTAATAGATTACAAATTTGTATTCTGCATGGAATATATAATCCATATCATATTAATGTTAACACAATTACAACAGCCAGTTTCTGAATATAACTTTAGACACGTAATATTTCTCTTTAATATGAGTGACGTCATAAAGTATTAAAGAGCAATGACTTTGCGTAAGTCGTGTAATTGACAGTGCACGTGCGACACGTTTTTCAGGAGCGTCACGTTTGTCATTGGTTCATGCAGATTCGTCAATTCAGCATGGTGCTTTTCGGGGTATCGCCGCCATCAATCAAAACAGGAGACAAACAGTTTGCTGTGTTCCACAAGAAAAGTCGTTCCATTGTGGAAGAAATGAAGTGGGTAGAAGTCATGGTGGTCGATAACGCAGGCAAGTCTAGTATTGTTTACAACATTACAACATGTGCATGAAAACTCACGTGTTGTTAATTCTGCATACTTTAGATATTATAGGATTGTCAAATGGTAAGAGTTCCGCCCGTAACCCCCCTGAAATGTATTCTATTTATTAGGATTATTTCGAGGGTTTAGGGTAAGGTTTGGGGTTAGGTTTAGGGTTAGGGTTAGGGTTAGGGTTTAAGGTTAGGTATAGGCTGTTTATAAAAAACATAGGCGGATATTCTCAGGCATATAATGATTAGAAAAAAATTCGGGGGTTACGGGCGGAAATCTTTCCCCCCGTTCCACAAAGCTATCGCTGCGCTACGACTGTCGTACTTCCTATACTGTAACATAGACTTACGACAGTCCCAGCGCTACGATAGCTTTGTGAAACGGGGCCCAGTTTAATTCGAGTTCTGTAGAGACTTCAGTTTCCCATGGCTACATGCTGTGTAGGAAGATCTGGTTGATTTCCAGACTGGCGTAAATCTCTCCGAACATTTCGCAGTGTTATGCAGAGCCGTGCAAAGTATGAAAAGGCGGTGGAAATAAGGTCAAATGACCGAATTCCTCAAAACTGTTGGGAAGAATTGGATGTTTCATATTTCGTTCCTATAAAAGCAACTGATCACGGGATCTGTTGGCAGATGTGATTTCAATTGAGCCTGAATGTTTTGTAGGACTGTGCGTGGGTTATTTCGCGAAGGAAAAAAGACTGTGTAACGTCTGGCGATGTACATACTCTGTAGATACTTCGGGACAAAATATGAGGCGTTTAAAAGTGAAACGGGGGGATGAAAATCTAATAAAGAATGTCGTGGCCTTAAAAAAGGTCTAAAATCCCACCTGTTACAATGTACAGGTCGTACAATGGATCAGACGAGGATGTTGAATTAATAGGCTACCGGAAAGATAAGATGAATATATATCACGTTCACACGTTGGGAAGATAAACGATTACATTCAACAATTCCAACATAACTGAAATTTCTGTATCAAAACCATACAACTATAAACAGATAAGACATAATTTAATACAACCGGACCTATAATAATGAAAGTTACACTTCCTTAATACCGAGAGACGAAGGCGGAATCCTACCTGTTGACTGTACCCTATGCTACCAGGTCTCTTGAATGGTCCTGTATTTATTTTACAACTTGCATCAATGAATAATTGAGGTAACATAGTGTTATATCGTCATGTTTGGACTGGCTGTCCGACTGGTATTGTCTAGACAGTATACGACCATACGCAAAGTTTAGTCCCATAGTAAAGACATCTCAGTTGAGAATATATATAACCGCCTCCGTGGTGTAGTGGTTAGAGCGTCCGCCCGGAGAGCGGAAGGTCGCGGGTTCGATCCCCGACCGCGTCATACCAAAAGACGTTAAAATATGGTACTTGTTGGTCACTGCCTGGCGCTCGGCATTAATGGCTACAACAAGGACTGGTCGGCTCGGAGTCAGTATAATGTGTCTGATTGGGGTATTCATGCTTCACTGCGGCATGGTATCTCAGTGGGCTAGCACTATAAAACCAGCTTAAGTCTGGGCTAGTACAAGCAGCCGCACATACACATACACACGCATGCACGTCGTCATATGAGCAAAATATTCTCAAGCACGACCTAAAACCCAATTTCACCTCACCTCTCCTAAGAATATATATACTCATGGAAACGAATAAGGGAACGCATGAAAGTACAAGTGTTATTTATTCTGTTCCAGGTGTCTTCACATGCTTTGTATTGCACTGTGGGTGAAATTCTGGAAAATAATAAAGGAACACTTTCAGGTGTTCCCTTACTTGTTTCCATGAGTATATGTAGAAAATATGAAATCAGATGAAAAGAGCTCAGAACAGTGCTTAAATTCAGAGCAACATAGATTAACCTAAACATTCTAGACTTGAGTTTGGTTCATATTATACGAAATAATAATCTGGGAGACCGTGCAGCATAGACACAAGCTTATTGAAAAGGTGTGCAAATTCCTTTAAGCAATTCTTGTTTGACAGTTGTGTAATGTTGTCAAAAAGTCCATAATCAAATGAATTATGTTAAAGTACGTCTGCACTTACCCCGGATACATCTGCATGTATAAATGGTATGTTGCGAAAGAAACTTTGCGTAACTCCTTCTCCGGATCCATGATTAACTAAGCATTAATAGGTTCCCCTCTGCCTGCATTTAAGCGACAATTAGATACGTTAAGTACGGTTGATTTCATGTGCAAAGTCGAGAAACCTACGAGATCTCACTACTGGTTCCGTTCATGATTAATGCTGTACTTTACGCGAACCCATCCTTACCACAAAGTTTAGATGACGATGGGCAGATACAAAAACTATCTGGCTCTATCGCATTGGATTAACCGGATGTAACGCAATACCTATAAACATTTCACTGTACATCGGTGCAGTGAGATGCATTTCTACCTTTTTGATACAGGATGCATATTATCGACAATTATATAGGCAGTATGCAAAAATGTCATGTTTGAACGTGAATTTTATTTACATGCACACGAGTATGAATTGTTTAACGGCGCATGCATTCAGCATTACAAGCATGGGTTGCTGAAGATCATTTCTAACTCAGATCTTTACGGGTGTTCAAGTATTAATGATTTTCTCTTGGAATGGAATTTTACGTTGGAAATAGGGCCAAGATGGGACATTTGTAAATTTTAAAGCTATATCTGAACTGGAACAGATTTCTTTTCGATATCGATGTAACAGTGAATAATCAGTAAATATTGTCTGCGGTAACTTTCAACTGAGC